CATGGGGATTTTTAACAAAAGTACTGACATTCAATGAAAAAGGCATGCAAAAAGATTTTATTCTAGTAAGACGGGGCACTCACAGGAAAATAAATAAATAAAAAATAAAAAAAACAGTACTCTCAAATAAAATGTTGTAAGCACACAACAAAATGTGGTAAAGCAGACCCACCACCGACTTACTTTTTTAAAATCATCTCAGAACTTCCCACGCTTTTCCGTTCCTTTCTACTACTTTAAAAATCTGCACAAAAGGGGGGGCAAATCCAGAGGCCGCAGCCACAGAGAACTGGTTTCCCCGCCAAAGCGAAGTGACCGCGAACGCGCCGGGCATACACACACACTTTAACACGGCCCTTCTCCCAGGGTGGGGTGGGGGGCTTTCATCGTCCATGCTGGCATCTTCTCCTACAATATTCTGTTTGCGCTTAATGACTGATTTCAACTCAACCGCGCTACCCTGACACTGTAACATACACTACAGACTCTGGTATGTCCATCTCATTTTTATTTTTAAAAATTTATTTAGCAGTTCAAGTCTGTTCTCTAACATAAATATCAGTTATGAATCTCCATACAAGTTAAAAAAAAAAAAAAAAAACTATTCAACACATCAGTCGACAGCAAAAGAGTATTGTAACTTTCATAAATTCAGCTTTCAAATTCCTGAGAGAGAAACTTTTTACTATATGCAAAAATAAAGCCACTGCTTACAAAGAATTCAAGTCACATCCACAAAAGCAATAGACAAAAACGAGCGGAAAAAATAGAAATAAAAACCACAAAGATCAAAAGTAAAGGGGAGCTTGGAGGAGAGGGGGGAAAAATGAAAAAATAGATTTGCCAAAATGTTGGGTAGACAATGCGCATAATATATACTCATTATTTTTTCCTCTTTGTCTATTAAAATGTTACTTCTCAAATTCTTTGACAGCGCCATTAAGCGCAACAGAATATTGATATACAGGAAGACACCAGAAGAGGCAGCACCGCGTGTACAAAATGTAAAGCTGACGGAAACATGGAAGAAAAAAAGTGAAAGAAAAACAAACCAAAGGTGCCGCGAATAAATGAATGAATGAATGATGAATGAAAACATGTGATACAACAAGCAAAGATGGGCCTGGGTACTATCCAGACATCCATACAACCATGCATTTTTTTTTTCTCTGCTCTCTGAAGCAGGTCCTTTTTATTTTTCCTGATGGGCGAAGGGATATAAAAATACAGTCAAACCTGCTCTAACAGACAGCCACCTGTCCAAGACAATCACATGCACAAACGGCCACTCTCAACAATTTGTTGGGGGGGGGGGGGGGGGGGGGGTGGGGGGTGTTTTCTCGACTTTAATGAAACTGTCCAATAGTTCAGCTAAGGCAACCACTTTTCTCTTCCACTCTGGGTGACCGTCTTGGACAATTTTGACTGTATTGGTCTCATTTATTCTTCCATCATGTGTTGCCACATTATACGAGTAATACAGTAATCTATATGATAGTTTGGGATGTTGATTTTTTAAAAAGTTTTTCTGATACAAAAAGCAGTAGCAGAATCTCATTTCTTAACATTTTAATTTTTGGAGGGCAGTTTTGACATGGTCCTTTTTTGCATATGTGAAGGGTGCCGACAAAATGAGTAACTTCTCGGATTCGAGACCTTAGGAAAAAAATACGTCACGCTTATAGCTGAAGTTTTTACAATTTATAAGTATAAAATCATAAAAGACTTATACTTAAAGAATATGGCATCAATAGAAAATCTACAAATTTGAACCTAATGTTGATTTTTGGCCAAATACCTCCATTTGTGGATTGCGAGAGTTACTCATTTGATCAGCAGGCCTCACATATCATGCCCAGTTGCTAACTGACTTTCCCTTTTGTCTGTCATTTTCTGCCTGCAACCATGACATACAAAGACAACGACAAAGTCCCTTGCTAAAAGTATGAGTTCGAGTAAAGAGAAGTTTATCAATACGATAATAGTAATATAGTGCAGGGTAAAGGCAAGACAGCTAGACAGAAACAAAGGAGGGAAGGAAGGAAGGAAAGTAGGACCTACCAGTGGTGCCGTCAAACCACTCACATTTAAATTGTAATCTTTACTACATAGTCTGAAAACTCCCACTCACTACATAACTAGCATGGAAAGATGAACACACACATTAAATAATATATTACAGTGCCTCTCTTTCAGCATAAAACAACCACTATACTATACGATACTGAAAGCAACACTATACCAAAAACGCAAAATCAACCGAGTGAACAACAATATTATATGGAACATCGGTACGACAAATAAAGCAATGAATAAGATACAATCTGAAACCATCAACAAAACAGTGACAACATCCTCTGAATAGAGATCATTTTGATAAAACATTTTTTAATTCTTTCCAAAAAAAACCAAAAAAAAGGTGACAAATGAGATGAATACACATAGATAGCCCATAGACAACACATTGAAGAAAGAGTAAAGAAAGCTCAAAGTCCAACAAACACTGTAAGTTAAAAGACAAGAAAGAGACAACTCTGGCTGACTTTTTGGTGATCGCACCAAAAAACAAAAGGGATGTACATTTAAAATCTTGCTCTAATAGCCAACTGTTCGTGACAATAACCAGTACAAACGGCCACTTCCCACTTCATCCTTTGCGGTTTTTTTTGTTTTTAATAAAGACACTACCCAAAACTCCAGTCCATCTGTCTCAGAAAACCACTTTCTCCTCAAGAATGGGTAGCTCGTAGCTGTCTTGGACAATTTCGACAGTAACTTTAGAGTATTAGCCATATAAAAGCACAGAACAGCTGGCTTAGTCTAAGCCGCTTTGTTCAACCTGGAGGCAGTGGAGCTGTACAATTCACGATTACATCCCTCTGCTGTTTCGATATCGTTCATTGTTTCAGGAATCAACATCCCTGCATTCCAGACAGGTCCATTCGACAAAAAGGGTTCACAAACGCCATAATGAAATGTATACATCTCTTTGCTTAGACACGTCTCACAACTGATTTTTTACGTAGATGTTTTTAACACCTCTATCTACACAATTTACACCATTCAGGAGGCAGGGTTCAACCATGCCTGTCATGGCCAACTCAGACAGAGAGAGATGGAAGAAAAGATCCCAGCAGAAAGGCAGAGAAACTAAATCATTCTCCCCACTCAGGAATTGAACTCAGGTCTCTTGCATGCAATGGTAAAGCCCTTAACATTTACACCATAGGCGCTTGGGTATATTGCTTTGTGTTCCTGCCAGGATTTATACATCTCTTTGTGATCACAAACGCCACGATTTATACACATCTCTACCGATATAGTTCTAACATTGTGAACTGAAAGACCACAGTCCTTGCCCCTAACAGATCTAAAATCGCAACAGGACCTCAAAGGCTAGCCCTCCCATCAGTTTGATTGATACATGCCAGACTGCAGAATCGTAAAGTTTCTGTAACTTCTCTTAGCAAAAGTCTAAAATGGTGAACCTCAACTAAAAGCCCAGCAAGAAAATGGCTGCCAAGGTTTGGTAACTCCAACAGCTAAAAATAGTCCTTGAAATTGACAAATGACACATTTTGTGCCATTAATCAAAAATTTTCAGTACAATTCACATGGAAATATGTTTTGGTATGGACTTAAAGTCGTTGAGCCAAAAAATAAAAAATAGATAAAAATTGCCTAACTAGTGGGAAAAATGCCTGCTTCTCCAATTTCGTTATATTTTACGAGCATCTGATTTCCCCAAGATGCCTCGCTTATATAGATTTATATTTTCTTTACTCCTCAGAGGTAGTGATGGGATCACACAGCTCACAGTTGCCCGCTTCACTGCTGCTTGGCTTACAGCGCGCGTCCATAAATCGGGCCCTCCCACACACGATGTAGACGTACATTGTGCGCCCGACAATATCGCTATTTTGTTTCATTTCCTACTCAGCCAGTAATGGCAATTTTAGTATCGAGAGTGGGCTCCCATGAAAGCTCTTTTATTCCCGAGTAAGAGAAACTTTTGTTTGCCCTCATTGGACCAACAATAAAAGAATAAGCGGGAATTATAGCATCACTCTCTCCCTCTTCATAGTTGTAGTGTAGTCCCAGCCGTGACTGCTATGTCTGCTCACAACATATCAAGCTATGGACGAAATTTTCACCGAAGATGATAGCGGATCATTAATTTTCATTTAAAATGATATATACACTATTATGTATTTGATGTATAACCACAGAGTAAATAGCAATTTATAAGAGTGACCTTATTTAAAGTGCTATTCCTGGAAACAAGGTTGACATAAGGTGGGGAATGTAGGTCAGCACCTCTTTACCAGCCAGGTGACTCGTCTTGTAACTCACATTTGTTGTTGGTATATCATACAAGTACTGTATATACCCGCACATAACACGATCTTGCATTTAATACACTAGTGCGCGTGCACATGTGTGTGCGTGTGCATGTGCGTGTGTGTGTGTGTGTGTGTCCATTTTTGTAGGTCCCGCATATAATACGGGGTGAATTTCCAATGTACCGGAGCTCAACATGCGTGGAGCCAAATACTAATCTGGCATCAAAGAGTGATCAAAAGCCTTTACAAAGGTTTGGTTTTTGCACTGAGAGTAAGGATATTCATATTGCTCTAACGTCGTGGAATAAAAGTCAAAGACTTCATGCTTCGTTTTATAGTTTGATTCACCAGCCTCAAAGGGGTTTTCCGTTTCATCATCAATAATACATCCCTTTTGTTGGGCCCGATCCTGGCTGTACATCACACATGTAATACTGAGCATTCACTCTCCAATCTTTTTCTCTCTCTTAATCACTCCTATTATGGGCGAGCATATACAGTAAATTTTGCTTTAATACACAGAATCAAGAAATGAAATGAAAGAACCAATTACATGAGACAAAGCTACACCGAAGCAAAGAAACAGGCACAGAACTAGGGAGCAGAAAGAAATTTTTTTTTCAAAAAAGGGTTATTTCCACGAGGAGCTGTACTCACCAGAACCGGCCGTGCTGGGCGTGCTCGGGGAGCCGATGCTGCTCTTTTCTGGCGTGGTGGTGGTGGGCACCTGGGTTGAACCCTCCTCGGCCGCCACCACGGCGGGGAGAACAGGGGGAGGGCTCGGTGTGGCGGCCATGGGGGGCAGGCTCTCTGCTTTGAGCACGACTGGAGCAGCCACCTGGGGCTGGAGAAAAAAAGAATATATGACAAATATGATGGGGGGAGAAAAATCAGTTTTGTTTATTTGAGTACAGAGAAGCACATCGACTCAATAATGGTAATTTAGAGGTATGAAAAAGCAAGACATAGGCAACAGAGGGAAGATTTTAAAAATAAGCCTTTTAAGACATTTTCAACACAAGTCATGTAAGTGTAAAAAAATAGGTGTCACAAGAGAGTAACAAGCACGAAAAAAGGAGGAGGACATAAAAGGGTGATAGATTTGTTATAGGAAAGAAGGAGCAAACCAAACCAGAGCACCCACCAACCATTCGCTCAAAAAAAGCAGGACCAAACCAGCTGCGCTATCTGTATTTGCTTTTTGTTTGAGTGTAGAGAAGTGCACCGACACAATAATGGTCATTCAGAACTGGGAAGAGGCAAGATAGATGGGAAAAAAAGTGGGACTGATAAAAATGAACTGACCAGTGGTAACAAACAGACACTTTAATTTTGGTATGAGTTTTATGGCACTTGCAACACAAAGTCATACAAGTGCCGAAATTTAAAGGTGTTACTAGAGAGTACATACAAAGGAAAGACAGAGGAAAGATAAGGACAATAGATCTTTGATAAGAAAGAAGGAACAAACAGACCAGTGCACCTGCCTACCGCTCTCGAACTGTGTCAACAGGTAAAAAACAAGACAAAGCAAGAAGCACAACTATTCTGAATATGTGTCCAGTTCTTTTTTTTTGTTTTCAGTTTTCAAGTAACTTAAATTTTCAAACCATCTCAAAATACTCACCATGGAAACCTGAGAATCATTACCATTTACTTGAGGGGCTCCTGCCTGGAAAAAAGTAAAATAAAAAAAATATAAAAATTGAACAAATCACTTTCTGAACAATTTTAGTTTTAATACAAGTTTTACAGAACTTGCAACACAATTGGGGGCATACAGGTGCCAAAGATTAGAGGTGCTACTAGAGAGTTGGTTTTATAGAGGTTTTATGGCACTCGCAACTGCATAAGGTCATATGAGCGCCAGAAGAATAGAGGTGTTACAAGAGAGTAACAAACATAAAAAAGAAGAAGGGGAGATAAGGACGATAGATGTTGGAAAGGAAAGAAGAAGCAAACCACACCAGAGCACCCGCCAACCACCCACCTACTAGAGAGTAACATACAAAGAAAGAAGGAGAGATATGGACAACTAACAAATGGCTGATTCTGAGACATCCAACGCTATATCATCAGATCTTTTTACGAAGCAACAAACAAAATTATATCAATTGCTCTAGTAAAAGTTTTACGGCGCTCGCAACTGCATTAGGTCATATGTGCGCCAGAAGATTAGAGGTATTACAAGAGAGTAACAAACAACAAAAAAAAAGAAGAAGGAGAGATAAGGACAATAGATGTTTGATAGGAAAGAAGGAGCACACCACACCAGAGCATCCGCCAACCACCCACAAAATTATATCAAGTGGGACTGGTTTAGTTGTTCTAGTGTATAGTGATACGGATCTAAAATTCCTGACTGCCAAATCCTGAACAGCCCAGTAGAAATTCAGGACAGGAAAGGGATAATAATTGACACATTGCAAATTGACAGGACACAAACAGGAAAGGGATAATCGACACATTGTGAATTGACACGACACATTGCCACGTGACACAACACCACAGGACACAATCAGGGCTTACTGCTTCTGCATCTTTGTCCACCTCCATGGGCTCGGGTCCCGGTACGGGAGGCATCCCAGAGTCCGGCGGAGTCCCGACCATTGTCGCCCCCGCCGCCTCTACTTCTGATTTGACGGCCTCCTCATCGACGGGATTCTGCTGCTGCTGCTGCTGCTGTTGCTGTGGCTGTGTCTGTTGCTGCGGCTGCTGTTTCTTCCTCTCCTCCTCTTGCTGCTGGGCCAGAAGCTGTTGCTGTCGCTGCCTCGTTTCCTCCTTCACGGCTTTGGTCACCATGTTGTTGAACATGTCCTCCGTGATCTGTGGCTTGCTCTCGCATAACTGCGAGAAAGGGAAACACACAATTTGCCATGTGGCTTGCTCTCGCATAACTGCGAGAAAGGGAAACACACAATTTGCCCCCATTTAATACATTGTAGTTTTAATACGGTTTTACGGCGCTCACAACTGCATACGGTCATATGAGCGCCAAGGGGTGGATGTCAACAGAGAAGTCCATATGGGGAATCAGGCTTACTCTGCTCACCACTCTAGCCTCAACAGCACAAAGACTGCTTTGACTATCAAGGCACCCCGGAAATAGCAGTTCACAAGAGAGTGATGAACATACAAAAGAAGAAGAGGGGAAAATGACGATAGGATGAGGAAAGAAAAGCAGCAGTTCCCCCTACGTTGTTCCGGCACAGTATGAGCATGACTTTAATAAATCAGCCCATTACTATCTTACCAGCTAGTTTGAATCTTCTTCAAACAACAAGTGTGGGCAGTAGCCACAGTGATTGTCATTTTGTGTATGTCTTTAGACAAATTTAGAAAATTATGCAGGTAAATATATGTATTTGAAAGGATAGTTGTACTGTGAATCTGCTGGTATGCATGAAACTGGGTCACTGTGTAAGCTGTTGAAATGTAATTCTACAGTAAAGATCCGGCACCCCCTCCCCCCCCCCCTCCATTTCACCACCACCACCACACATACACACATCTTCCAGGTATGTCAGGGCCAAACCAACCACCATCACACCCAGACCATGTCATTTTATCACACAGCAAGCCCACTCTGCACCTTCTCTCAATCCGTACTGCCGCTCCCAGCCGAGGCAGCATCATTACACTTCATCATGCAACATGCCCACTTTCCCCACCTTTATCTCTCTCTCTGCTACTCCGCTGTGGGCATTTAAGTGGTATCACAATATTGACAACGAAATATGTGCATTACTGACAGAAAATACAGCTTCGTTGGGGCAAAAGAAACTTTTTCATGAAAGTATCCTTTTTTCAACAATGCATAAAACAAAAACATAATTTCTGGATTTTCTGATAGAAATGCAGACTTGCTGAGCACCTTTTTCTTATAGAATTCCGGAACAAGTCCGGATATTCCGGAACAGTAGGCATGTCTGCCAATCTCTCAACAACTCCGGTAAATATGGAAAAAAGTTAGGACAGAAAAATATATTTACAAACCTTTTTCAAATCCACATGGAAGCCCTCACTAGACTCCATGAACTTTTTCTTTTTCAGCTCATGCTTCTCCTCTATCTGATGCAGTTCTCCCTCCAGCTTTTTCTGAAAGAGACCACAGTACGTTAACGATTTGAAGTCAATTTAAAAAAATAATAACATCATCATTAGAATTATCTGAAATAATAACAGACAATAACACCAAAAGCGTACATAATATCAATCATATACAAATTTGCATTTATTGCATACATCAATACAGGAAAGCAGGCTCTATTACCACAAACGTTACTCAGTGAGTACACCAAAATAAAGCTAAGCAAAAGGAGTGTGAAATCCGTTCTGCTGTATGGAGCAGAGACCCTGAAGTTGATAAAGGCGGCCGAAAGGAGGCTTCAAATCTTTACTAATGAGGTGTTGGAAACAGATTCTGTGCCTCGTAAGATGGTCCCACTTTGTCATCCCAGAGCCTAAGATGACAGAAAGGGAAAATTGTGTGGCACACAGAAGAGAGAAAGCAGACCTACCTGTGGTACCCTCCAATAACTCACAAAATACTTTCAAAAATCTCTTGACCTCTGCTAACCAAAATCAACGAGCATAATCTTTTTTTTTAAACGTAGTGAAGACAGAGTGTCTTCCAAGTTCTGTGTAAAGAGTTGGAATCTCTTGACTGCGACATTAACTTATTTTATATATCTAGATCATCCAGTGCACTGTAAACCTATTTCCTACATTGGAAAAAACCAAAATTTTGTTTCTTCGACATCTCAGAGACTACTAGGTTTTGAATAAAGAGAGGGACATGCCTTGAAAGCTTATTGTTTTAGCTTTGAGATTATGATCAACATTTTATACAGATTATGTGACAGGAAGCACTAGCTCTATAACTTTTTTAAAAAACCAAAAGTCGGGTGCGTTATCTTGCTCACACACATTCAGCGAGACAGCAAGAGCCAACAGGCTGAACCAAAGCCATTGTTCAGTCTCAGTACTTTCAAGTTGTTTCGATTAATATGGCCTGTTCTACACGAGTCCTGTCAAACAGCATCTTTCCTTCAGACCGGCCAGAAAAAAAAAAAAAAAATAACAAGATAGAAAACAGTGTGGAAAACAGCAGCAAAGTAGAACCAATTGGTGCAACCATCAAACCACCTACCGAACTGATACAAACAGCAATTTTAAACTTAAAAAAAAAAAAGCCTCCAACCTGATGCATGGTGAGGGACTGGACTTGTCTCTTGAGCACACTCATTCTGGCCTCAGTGACCACGCTGCGCACATCAGGCACCACCGCATCGCTGAAGATCTCGTTGATGAGTCGGTGATTGCGCAGATAGCGTGCCTGGGCAATGTGTTTCGTGGTGAAACTCTCTTCAAAATCTGTGTGATAGGGAGCCGTAACAAAATCTTTTTAAAAAAAATTTTTGTAAGTTTCACAGCATTTACGATACGATACAGACAGGTCATACAAGTGTCAGAATCATTATTTTTATTTAGTAGAAGTTTTATGGCACTCGCAACTGCATAAGGTCATATGAGCGCCAAGAGGTGGATGTCAACAGAGAAGTTTTTACATGGAATCAGGTTTACTCTGCTCACCTCTCTAGCTTCAACAGCAGTAAGTCTGTTTCGACTTTCAAGGCACCCCAGAAATAGCGGGTCACAAGAATGTGACAAACATACAAAAGAAGTAGAGGAAAAAGTACAATAGTAAAAATTAGAAAAGAAAAAGCAGCAGTTCCCAGTTATGAGCATGGCATTGATGAACCAGCCCATTTACAATTCTACGGTGCATGAACGAGAAATGTCCCCCCTTTGGGAATGGCCTAAAGACACTTCAGTCAGTGGCACCGCCCCGGGTGGGGGTGGGGTGGGGGGGGGGGGGCGGGGGGTAAAGCAGGATAAAAGTAAGACAGACAGATGGACAGGAAAAATTACCACTTAACAGTACACCACTGAGTTTTAGTAGTTAGACCTGCATGTGAGCCTCAACCAGATTGTCTGAAAATTTTAACCCTACTCCTACCCCTAGGCCTACCCCAAAAAAGAACGTGCAATGGGCCTCATGTAAAAAGGCCAACACAAGTCCAAATTTTAAAAAACCACACTCCAAAACAAACAAGGAGCATAATATGGCCTACACCTAGATATCTAAATCTACATTCCTATAATAGCCTTTGATACAATAACATAACAGAATAGGAATATGAATCCTCCATATAGATCTAGATCCAGTAATCTAAATAAATCTAGATTCTAGATCTAGATCTAGAACAAGTGAATAGGAATAGGCCTTGAACTAGATCTAGATCTAGAAATCCGCATCTGATTCCGAACAGAGGGACTCAGCTCAGTCTAGATTCTAAATCTAAAATAAATAATTCACGCACCTGATGAAATGCTTTTTACCATCATCAATATTACAATACAACCTATGATAGGGTTTGACACAATAGAATTGGAATATGAATCCTCCATTGAGGTCTATAATGATCTATATAAATCTAGATCTAGATTCTATTAGAACAAGTGAGTCGGACTTGAATGAATCCACACGATCTGAACAATTGAATCAACAAACGAAATTCAAAATGGCCGCTCAAGCACGAAACTGAAAGTAGATAATTTAGGTCGTCGTCCTTTTTCGTATTCACATTTCTACTCAGGTTCCGACAATTATGTCGGAAACGCCGACGTCAGCACGAAAACGAAAGTGCACTTCGAACATTGACTGGTACAGGTGGGCCTAGCGATAGCATCGCCCGGCTCGTGGGTCGGGTTGCGAACATGCAGGTCTAAGTAGTTTTACAGCATGTGCAATACAATTGGGTCATTTACGTACTCTAGCGCTACTAGAGGCTAACATTCAAAGTTAAAGGAGGAGAGATAAGGACAATAGATTTTGATAGAAGAGGAGTAAACCACACCACAGCATCCACACCTTACACTGAGAAAGAGCAAACAGAACAAAAAGAAACAAGTCTGACCTGAGAAAAGTGCCACTTACTAGTAGCATTTCCACCAACTAAGACCAAAAAGATGTTCAGGCAATTGGCTCAAGCCCTTCACACTTTTGAAGGTCAAGTGCCTCATCTTATTCTGCCACACTATTTGTTAAACCTAGGATCCAATTTCTACCATTGCCATTTAAATGTAAATTTCTTTTTTATTACAGATGGCAAAGCTATGGAACATCCTAGGACGACAGAAATCTAATTTCCACAAAGTCAAAGTAATGAGGCTATAGCAATAGTTCCTCTGTACAACTGAGCCAAAATCATTTAAGTATCAAGTCTGATACTGCATCCATTCAAATCCAACCAAAATCAAAGTAGCAACTACAATTTTCATTGAGAAAGGAGCCAACTGATTCAAAAACGGTAACTCACCATCTTCATCATCTGTCGGTAAGATGCTGATACGAGATCCTTCTCCTTTTGAACTCTAGATTGGATAGAAAAAAAATACAGAATAAACTCGGTCCATACTTGACCAAAAAAAATCAAACATGTGAAAAATTGATTCTAAAACAAAAATGGGGTGGGGAGGGCGGTAGAACTGCCTCTCTACGGATATTTAAGCGGTGCTGGGTACCTCCTTTGAGCACTAGTTCTCCCTATGAAAGGCGTCAGAGGGTACTTGTGTTAACACTTCTTTTTAAAAAAATCATCATCATCAGCCTTATTACAATTATTAGTATGAAATAATAAAAGGTATGTTATACTTAAAGAATATGGCATCGATAGAAATCTACAAATTTGACCCTGGTGTCGATGTTTGGACAATATCTCCATTTGTGGATGGCGAAAAGTAACCCATTTTGTCTGTACTTACAGGTTTGTGGGTGGTGGGGGGAGGTCGCTCTGGCCTTGTCACGGGCTCATCTTCGTCCACAGCTTCTCTCTCCGCTGAAATTGTTCAGAAGGGGGGGGAAAAAAGAAAGCCTAAGATATTCGTTTCATTTTTTAAAGGTTTAGTAAGAATTTTACAGCGCTCGCAAGAGCATAAGGTCATACAAGCACTGTTGTTTAGTTTGCTTTAGCAAGCATTTTATGGCACTTACAACACAATTAGGTGACACAATTTCCAAAGATTAGATTTACAAGAGGGCAAAAATCATTAAAAAAAGGAGAGATAATGACAACGGATGTTTCATAAGAAAGAGGGAGCAAACCCCAGAAGAGCACATGCCAACCACCCATAAGAAGAAAAACATGAAAGGTAATGAAACAGTCAAAATTGTCCAAGACAGCCACCCAATGTAGGGGAGAAAAGAAGTGTGGTCTAAAAGGTGGGTCTCTTGGACATTGTCTTAATATAGAAAAAAAGAGACTCTTGGGAAAAGTGGGAAGTGGTTGTTTGTACAGGTGATTATCTTTTTTTTTTTAAGTTTTAGTATTGAATAAGGTCATATAAGTGCCGAAGATTAGAGGTGTTACAAGAGAGTAACAAACATAAAAAAAGGAGGAGACATCATGACGATATATGTGTGATAGGAAAGAAGAAGCAAACCACACCAGAGCACCCGCCAACCACCCACATGATTATCTTTGACAGGTGGCTGCTGTGTTGGTTCGACTGTAACTTTTGTTGAGCAAGAGGTTTCACTCGAACAAGGAGAAGCATATAGATGCAAATGCCAGCCATCATGTGAAGGGAAAAAGGCAAGACAGACAAAAATAAAAGAGGGAAAGAACAGAAGTAGAGTCACACTAGCGTCATGTTCCATTCATCGTTTCCCCAAGAGGAACTTCTTTAATTAGTTTTAGTAAAAAAATTTACGGCACTTTCAACACAATGAGGTCATATAAATCCTGAAGATTAGAGATGTTAGTTTTAGTTTTAGTAGAGGTCTTACACTGCTCGCAACCACATAAAGTCATATGAGCGCCAGAAGATGAGTAACAAATATAAAAAAGAAGAAGGGGAGATCGTCCCACAGAGATGTTACAAGACAGTAACAAACACAAAAAAAGGAGAGAGAAGAAGAACGATGGGGGTTTTTTTTTTATAGGAAAGGAGGAAACAACACCAGAGCACCTGCCAATCACCCATCCAAGAGAACTTCTACACAACTCCATTCAGCATAGGTAAATCCACCAAGTCCAGTTCCTTTCTCTCTCAAACTCTAGGCCAGTTACAGGGAAAAACCCCAGCTCTATCTTCAGAACTTATTCATAAATTCTTGTACAAACTTTAGCAGAATATTTTCCTTGCATGCTTCTAACATATTCAAGTAACAAATTCACACGCCATTGTAGTACAAGCTGCGCGCACAGCAACCACACCCCCACCCCACCCTCTTTACACTTTCAAAAAAAGCATATATAGAAAGAACTACTAGCAGGAACTCTCACCTTTTGCTGCAATCCAAGCTTGATAAGCTGGCGAGTTGTGATAGGCTTTGAGTGCCTCTGTATACTGAGCCTGAAAATAACACCACGGGATAACAAATATAGTAACACCCATGTAGCATATACCGGAGCACAAAGAGAGCGCTTGCTCGCGATAAAAGCGAGCGCGTTGGAACACGCGCGTGAAATGTTACTCTAAAGTTGCTTGTTGCGCACAAAAAGCACGCTCGCTTTATGGCGCCTGGGATTTCAAGCGACGCTTGAAAAGCGTAAAAAATCAAAAGTTAATTCTTTCTCGCTTGCAAGCGTGTACTTGGTAACGCCCCCCATTGTTGTCTGGCTGTCTGGTCACGACTTGGGTGGTTCAGAATGTATTTTCTCTCAGTCTCAGTGACAAAAGCACCGAAATGGATGTCGATTCTTCGGTATCAGCCGCGTTTTAAAAACTTGCAATTTGGGACAAGAGAAGGAAAGACCACGCAAACCGCTACGTTGTGAATCGTGCTTGGAAAAATATTGGCGAAGAACTGAAGCTGATGGTAGGACTGAAAACGAGAAGGGCTTCTTTTAAGTAAAGGAAACAAGTGGTGATATTCACCTTCCACTCACCTCCTTTTATTTATCTCATGAACCCCCATTCTTTTGCGTTTTCCTAGGATAATTTTCGGCAAAACAGTCTAGCAACAACAGTTCGTTTTCACTCGAATCTGCCACGGCGCCAAATGCCCAAGTTCTGACCAGTCGCAAGAGCGATTTGCAATCTTTCTCTGTGTACACCTCAACGACAAGCAAGCTCTTTCTTCACAAGCGCTCGCTTTATCCCGCTCGCTTTTATCGCGAGCAAGTGTTCTCTTTGTGCGTACCTTTAAGCTGCCAACTTTTCAAAAACAAAAAAAACAAAACCCTAATAGAAACACTACAGTAAAATCATCACTGATAGAAAACATCATAAAATCACAAATCACTAAACAAAACTTCCACTAGAGAAATCATAAAACAAAAACATCACAGTTTGATAAAAAACAAAAACAGCACAGTTAATTTTTTTTTTTTAAAGAAAGCTAATAGGTAAAATCATAATACAAAAACAGTACAGTAAAATCACAAACAAAAACATAATAAAATCACAAAGCAAAAACACCAAATAAAAAAAAACCCACAGTAAAATCATAAAAAGAAAAACAATAGAGAATCCCAAATTGGCACAAAAATAAGCTTTCTTAAAATCTCCAAACAAAAATGTCACAGTCACAGTACAAATCACAACACAAAAACATGACAACAGACAACCAAGATGTACATGGCAACAACCTGTTCCCATGCTCTGGCCTTACCTTCTCCACCTCGTACTCTTCCTGAAACTCTTGCTTGTCGTGGTCTGAGAGATCTCGCCACATCTGACCGATGATCTTGCCGATCTCCCACAGCTTCAGGTCCGGGTTTTGGGCCTTCACTTGCTCCCAAACCTGCGTGGTCACATACCGAACAGTGAGGATTTACTTTCAGTTGCTGGGAGTAAAACTTTTACTGCACTTACAACATTAAATAGGTTGTACAAGTACCAGACATTACAGAGGTTTTACTAGAAAGCAACTGACTAAGAAAAGAAGGAGGAAAGTTCAAGTTTTAGTAAGAGTTTTAAAGCACTTACAACATTAAATAGGTCATATAAGTGCAAGAGACTAGAGGTCTAACTAGAGAGCAACATACTAAGAAAAGAAAGAGGAGAGATATGGATGACAGATTTTTCACAGGAAAGAAGGAGCAACCTACAACAGAGCACCAGCCAACCACCCACGTCACAGACTGCACTGTGAGACAATCCAAGTGGGGTTTGAGTTTGTTTGGGTACGGACAGAGAAGCACATCAGCACAATAACTGTCGCTTCCTATTGCCAGGATAAAGTATGACAGACAGAAAGAAACCCAAGCAAAAAGGGTAGGGGGGGGGGGAGAGAAGTAGAACCCACCAGAGGCATCCTCAAACTAACCACAAGCATAAGAGTGAGGGTGAAAGAAAAGTGTTTAGTTTTAGTAAGAGTAGAGTTTTACGGCACTTGCAACATAATAAGGTCAAATAAACGCCAAAAGTTAGGGGGTTTACAAAAGAGTAACAAACACAAGAAAGGAGGAGGAGAGAAAAGGACGATAGTTTTTTATAGGAAAGATAGAAGGCGCAAACCACACCAGAGCACTTATACAATACAGGTTCAAAAGCACTTTTGGTGAAAAGAACTATATACCTTGAATTCTCTTTGTAAAAACATTCATAACTAATTGATTTAATAGGATCAAAAGTGAAAGAGGAGGAGGGTACAGTGAGTCTAATAATAATTAAAGCAAATCTTTAAAAACAATACTGATATCTTCAATTTTAGTCTCAACAATGCACAACGACAAAGAATTTAGAAACCAAAAAAAAAAAAAAAAAAAGAGGTGAGAGAAAAAAAGAACACACGATGAAAGGTTGACAGTGTGCAGGAGGCACTCCATCAAAAAAAAAATCTGAAAATATAAAGTACCATTGTGTGACATGTAGATTATAACATGCAAGCACAGCACCATTGTGTGTCATATAGATGATAACATGCAAAAATGAAAAAGTGACAGATATACAATAGATTTGCTCCCCTGACAGTGAAGTAAGGATCTCTCAGATCTTAAGCTCAACTAAGGAAAAGAACTTCGAAACATGTAATTAGAGATAACATCCAATTTTTCTTCATCAACAAATCGTTGCCTCAAAACAGTTTTGTCCAAAGTGTACTTAAGTAAAGAGGCACTTCGACAATATAGTCCTGGGGCGATGAAATGACAGGATTTGCACATTAACTCTTCCCCAAGATACTCAGTAAAAATTTACCCCACTCTAGAATCGAATACAGGTCTCCTGTAGCCAACAACAAAACACCTGTCCACTACACCACGCTGGTGAATTTTTTTGTAACCAAGCAAAAGCCGAGAAGGCTAAAGTGAAAAAAGAACGAAAAAGATCCAAGTATCTGCCAGAAATATGGCACAAAAAAAACAACTCAATCTGCAGTTCACGCATCCATTCACTTTCCCTGGCAAGTCTACAAGAAACATGTCCACAAAAACATGAATATTAATAGCAAACTGTCCTTCAAATTTATTTTTTTTCAAATTTTCCCACTCATAAGAGATATTTTCAAAGCACTTTTAGTAAATTGAGTAAAACAGTTGAATGTTACCAGCTGTAAATCTATCCCATGAAAAAAGAAACCAACATCGGGATTGAAACAAAACAAAAAAGCATATCCACACAACTTACGTCATGAGCTGGGAATGTTTTTCTTTTTCTCTTTAAAGTAGGTGTTTGTTACGCCCCCATAGAAACAATTGAGAAAGTATAGGAGGTGGGAGAGATACAACATCCTGGCAGAAAGGCACACATGCATGCACTCAATAAAAACTGAACTTGGATTTTCAGTGAGCGACGGCAAAGAGCCTAAGTAACCACTTCACCACAGGCACCAGTTGGAAAAAAGTAAGACACACAGAAACAACAGAAAAAAAAAAAAGAAAAGAAGCGAGTTGTGCCACCGGCACCTTCCAAACCAAGTGCAAAGCTGGGGGGGGGGGGGGGGCGCGCCCAAGGAAGCAAATCTAAATACAGAACATACACGCAAGTGTATGGCTTTTCTGCATTCCTAATTGCCAGAAGCCTGTCCAAGCTTCTAGGCTTCAGCCCACCTATGCCTGGCCCTAATTGCAGACATCATGCGGAGAGAAAAGCGTCAAAGCACCACCAAAGCAAACATTGAGTTGAGAGAAGGACAACAGAAAAGTTCACTTTCTTGTTTCACACAGAGTGAGGTTCGTTAACAGCAATCTCACAAACAGCTTAGACCACACTTGTCTAAAAAGAAGCTGTAGCACGCCAAACCGAGAGGAACACTTAGGCAAGGCCAAAAAACAAAACAAAAAAAACCTTTTTTAACAAACCAGAAAACCCCCCTCAAAGCTCTTTTTCGCTCCACTGATTTCTACAAGATTTTATTAAACACATTCTTAGCCTGACAAGTTAAAAACATTATAACACAGGAGGAAAAACCGGCTCCAGTCTACAAAAACAATTTGGTTATTATATTACTGCTGTGTATCTCCTAACCATTCATCACCACACAGAATTGTACTTGGAAGTGCAAAGTGCCCTTATCGTCCTACTGCGACGGAACAGATACAAGTGATTAACCACAACAGCTACTTCTGTTTTTTAGGTTTTTTTAAGTTCTTGTAAGGATTTTTAGGCAACACAGGTCATATCAGTGCCAAAAGATTGAAGGTGGTACTTGAAAATAACATTTTTTAAAAAGTAAGAGAAATAAGGGCAAACATAGACGTTTGATAGGAAAAGAGGAGCAAACCCCACTAGAGCCCCCCCAAAACCACCCACAACAGCTGCTGCTGGTGAGTCAAGAAATCAAACCCTTGCCCAATAGACCAGATGCAAACAAAGAACGCAAGGGGAAAACAAAAATTTGACAGACAAACAAACAAAACTACAGCTGACCACCACCTCAGTACGAGTTAGAATGTAAGAAAAAGGCAACGGATATAGGAAAATTAGCAAGCTAAAAAAAAAGCAGGGGTGATGATATATATAGGTAAAGCATACATTACATGCTCGGCCAAAAGAAAACGGGAGAAAAAAAGGCACATAAAGGAAGCAACAACAACAACGAAAATTTGCCCCACTGTTTCCTTCCCTGTTCCTACCTCGCTCCAATGCCAGAGTTGGACTACACCAATAGCAGCTATTCACATACAATTTGAAAAAAAAAAAAAATGAAATAAGGGTCAAAGTTCAAAACCCACAGCCTGTCTAGAAGAGAAAAACAAAATGAAGACCACGCCCCCTCCCCCACCTTCCTATTTCTCCAGTGAGGCAACCAAGCATAAGTCATCCTGCGTAATGATAATCCCCATTTTCCAGACAGCTCCGTAATGATGACTCACAAAAGATCAAATATATGTCCCAAAAAAAAAAAGCCAAATGATGCACAGAGCTCTCTCACAGGTAAATTTCCTCAGAGGAAAGGACAAAAATCAAAGGGGGTGGGGAGTATTAAAAAGAAAAAGAAAAAGAAGAGGGAGGCAGGGTTGTTACACGGAACAATTCAATGCTGGGAGCATTTTGTTGTCAGTACAGAACGCACCCCCCCCCCCAAAAAAAAAACCAAGACGAAGAGAACCACGACCATGAATTGGATGAACAGCAGGAAAATTTCAGAACAGAAAAAGCACATAGATACAATGACAATGGTGCTCTACTGACGGCTATAGAGGCAACAGGAAAAGGATTGGTAAGGGGGGAGGAGGAACGTTCTGAAGGCTACTGTCAACCAACAGCTGTATGACAAACTTATACACTGACTGCAATTGTTCTCTATACGAATAAAGAGATGACCCATCAATATGCAATATGTCGTTTAGAGTAGGCAAAAAGTAACAAGGATAGAATGACGCAATTAAGGGATAAACAAAAAAGGATTGAGGACATACTAGATGCACCCTCCAATGACATGCACAAACTTCCTTGGGCATTTGTACTTTTCAGTTTTTAGCCAAAAAATATCAAAGGCACTACCACCACTTCTCCTTTCCCTGATCTACAAACACAGGCTCAGATTTCCTTTTAAAAAATCAAATCAAATATCCAACCTAAAAATAAATCCTCTTCAAACAAAACAAAAGAAAAAAACCCAAAAGTCGACCAATGGAGGACTGAGGGAATGATCTAGTCAAATTCTGAACTCAACATAAGAAAGAACTGGATGGCACAACAGAGGGAAAGCACGTTTCACATCACCAGACAGAACAGGAAAGTAATGAACGTACAAAACTAGAGTTTACATTACGTCATACACATCCTCCATAAACAATTCATTTCGTTTTTGCTTTGTTTGTATTTGGGTTTTTTTTAAATCTTGGAATGAAATCACCTTTCTTCAAACGAGTTTTTCTCAGCTTTGTGATTTGCAAAGTTCCTGGCCTAAAAATGCTCAACTGTATCAAAAACACGCATTTCACAGAATTCAACTGTGGCGTCTACACAGTGAAAAGGCCTTCTGTGTAAAATGTTCAAAAACGCAAAAACATTGCAATGCACGTAGTCTTCCTCCAAGGTAAAAAATATCACATATTATTAATTGAAGAAAAGGAAGCAAGCTGCACAACAAACTGTTCCGATGATCATTTCATGTCTCTACTACGAACGGGCCAAACTTTAATAGACGATGCGCATTCTGATGTAAGCATAAAACAACTGAGTCAAAATTGTCAAATAAAAAAATCAACTTCAATTACATTATACGAAAACAAGAGCGTGGCCCGAAGGCAACCACTTCACCATTACATTCCTCCAACTTTACTGTATTCCAAACGCTACGGCTACAACAAACACCCAGCAAAAAGAATATATAACAGGACACACAACAACTATGAGAATGCGAAGCGGACCCAATTCTTGAAAGTTTTTGCAAAGAAAAGAAACACTCCTAATACTTTCAGTCGGTCACATTTAAATAAATACCAAAAAAGGAGAGAAATAAATTGTCTAATGAAACAAAGTAGACGTTATTGTTTCATCCAAAACTGTTCAGGAACTGCAGCATTATGAAAGGGGACACAAATCAAAACAGCATACATTGATGATTGGACGACATTTAGTTTAGTAAACTTGGTTATTGTTAGATACGTTTATATACACTGCAGGAAGCAGTAAAGGGGGGGGGGGGGGGGGGGGAGAATCTTTGTTATTTGACATACAATCAAACTGAGGCCTTTTATCCTGCCATTTCCAAAAGGACATCCTTTCAATTGAGGCACCACTTCCACTGGAGTTATAGTTAGAGAGACACAATCATGGACAAAATAATGGTCCTTTAGTGCCCAGAGAGAACAAGAGACCTGACAGAAATAACTGAAGGACAGTAAAAACAGAGGACCGAAAAAAAAAAGGAGTCACATTTCTCTACCATCTGTTTATGGTTTCAGCCACAGACATTGTCAGCAACAACTTTGACAATTACAGCTACACAGAAAGACAACACAATAATTCCAGACTGAAATTTTTAAAAATAAATAAAAATTACATGACAGCAAGAAAAACCATTAAAAATCAATAGCCGCAACCTTCACCCACCCTTTATTATTATTATTTTTTTCTCTTGATATGATCAACAGGCCAGACGCGACATATTGCAGAATAGCATGTACAGAGTGAGAGAAGGTGGGCAAAGTGACCAGATTTTTAAAAAAAACATAACAGGGACGATGCAAATTATCACATATTAATAATCAACATCAAATTGTTAGTCAAAGCACCTAACAACAAAACATAGGGCCCCAGTGGACTGAACGTGCACACAGGGCTAACAGGAGGAATACTGTGTAAAGAGCGGCAGTATTTGGGAGTTCTGAGCTGCGCAGTAACCAGTGGAGCGGATTAGTTTTAGCAACAGTTTTACAGCACTTACAAAACAAATAGGTCATATAAGTGAGGAAGATTAGGTGTTACCATAAAACATACAAAGAAAAGAAGGAGTGATAAGAATTATATTTATTTGACAGGACAGAATGAGCAAACCTTTTTTCTATTTTTTTTTCTTAATAAGAGCCAAAGATTACAGGTGTTACATGAGAGCAACATACAAAGAACAGAAGGAGAGATGATTTTGTTTTAATAAGAGTCTGACCACGCTTGCAACACAATAAATGTCGTATAAGCGCAAAAAATATAGAAGTTTTACAAGAGAATAACAAACACAAAAGAGAAGGAGGGATAAGGATGACATGTTTGATAGGAAAGAAGGATCAAACCACACCAGAGCACCTGCTAACCTCTTCTTCTGTTGAAACAGCAACGTATTCTTTAGGGGAAAAAATGATTTATACCCGGAGATTTACTTTGACTCTGGGTAACTCATGGTAGCATCACAAAATCTTTTTAGTTTTTGTCACAGATTTATGGTACTTACAACAAAAACAGGTCATATAAGCGCAAAAGATTTAGAGATGTTACAAGAGCGTAACATACAAAAAAGAAAGACAAAACAAAACAAAAACCAAAAAAGCGAAGGAAAGATAAGGACAACAGAGGTTTGATGATACAAAAGGAGCAAACCACACTGAGCACCAGCTACCCACCCACAAAAACTGTACACACAGACTACCCCAACCATACTGTTACAACAAGCAACATGGTACACACTGTAGCTCAGAATTCCCAAAGTCTTATGGTGGCCTACAAAAGAAATTTAACTGCCAGAGCTCATGCACCATAAAGCCATAACAGGAAGACATACAGCCAACCTAGGGGTTTTAGTAAAAGGGATTATTGTTTGGAAGTTCTGGGGAAGTTTTTCTGTCTCAAAATAATAAAAGAATCAACTTGTATGTGAATAGTCATTGAGTCCTCGACTTGCACAGGCTATGGAAAGAGCATGCACTACTAAAGTCTGACCCTACTTTTATAATGATCTCGTCAAACCTACAGACACTTGTGGACAGAGACACAGTAACATAGTTTAAGTTAAAATTATACAAAGACATTGATCGATACATAAAGCGTGAGTCATTGCCATTCAAGTCAGCAGCAATTACACACCTCCTTTGACGAGTTGCGGTGTTTGAGAGCCTTAAAAGTTGCTTTGCTTGTATTTCTTTTACTTTTTTCTTTTTACCATGCTTGCTGCCTGTGATAGATAGCGAGGTGTACAAATTTTCTTCAATGCTAAAGGTCATCATTTCTTTATGATGAATGAACCATCACTATTAACCTTGCCACAACCATATAATTTCAATTTCGTGTTAGGCATGGTTTTTATCAGGTGGAGGGGGAGGTGTCCTTATCTACAAAAACACTGCACTCATACAATAGCAATGACAAAGAGTCAGAGCAGCCATACACAAACAACAGTGTACCTTGAACAGCCGTAAGCACATACTTGACATATTTACAAGCACTGTGAAAACTAAAGCAACACTGAACGAGGGTTACAGTAAAGTCAATGCAGCAAGTTATATTAGTAAGAATTCCCTGAAAAAACATGTTTATGTATATGTTGGTTATTCACAAAACATGCACTGCTATTGTATTTCCTCTGAGAGATCAAGACAAGGACATATTATGCCACAATGGTTACCTCCCACAAAAGCACAAGGCTTGTCTTCTGGAAATCTCAACACTAACACCTTTCCACAGCCTGTGAGCTTTGGACTTCACTACTGGCAGAAGACCAATGTCACAGAGACACAACCACTCAGCACTGCTCAAACGATCTGCTGCATCACACCCTTGGCAAAATATGTTCAAATTCCCCTATTCCCTCTCCCATTTTCAGTGGCTCTTCAGGCACTTAAAAATTCATCCCTTCACATTTAGGTCAAAACCCAAGTCCTGTAAGAGTAGATTGCTTTAAAATTGTCCTCTGTTTGAATATCATAAATACAGCAGTCCTTTATAAGATCAAGCGGCCAGTGCTGGTGGCAGGCAGCCGGTGTGACACTGGTCATCTCTTCAACGCAACTACTGACATGGAAACACAAGGCAATGAGGGGAAAAAAACCAGTGGACAAACCTTTCCGATTACCTTTCTGCTATAACGCATGTAAGGCATAAGTGGCTTGTCTGGGGGTTTGGGGGGTTTTGGCAACCGCCCTTCAGACTGAAATCGAACAAGACATTACAACACAAGAAATGATTTTGTTTTCAATCAGCATAAAAATTATTTATACCAGCTGTGAGAATATTTTTTTTATTTCATGAACTAACAAAATACACCCGATCTCTGTTTATAGAACCACCTGAAAATATACTCACTATGCTATCTTCAGCAAAGAAATACCAACCCTAAATTCATTGTGATTGATTTTCACTTCTAATAATCCCACTAAATAATTCTGATTTTTATTTCTCAAACTGTTATTTTAATCAAAGCATAGACATTGAAAAGATTCACTAGTGAGCATTGAAGTGATCAGGAACAACCTTTAATTTTACATTTGCATACTTACAAATTTCATTATTATTTTCTATCAATATGACAACCTGATCATACTCACCTGTCCAGAACTTTTGCTGGACTGAAATAAATAAGAACAAGATTTATGATTACAGGTCATGATGAGGCCTAAGTAGGATGAAAGAAATAAAAATTGGATATACAATCAAACCTGCTCTACCGGCCACCTGTCCAAATGACCACTTCATACTTCCCCCAGGTAATTTCCCATTTGTTATAATGAAACTGTCCAAGATGTCCATCGGTCTAAGACTAGAGCACTAGGTCTTCACTGTGTTACAATATGTGTTATGGTGTCTTATGTGTTGTCATTTCATGTATGTAACAGATACGCTGATCATCGTTATGTTGTACCTATTCGTGAATAAAAGGATTATATAAACACGACGATGAGGAGTCATCTGTTTTTCAGCCACTTTCATCCTCCACAATGGGTGACTATCTCAGACACGTTTGACTGTCTTTGAATGTTTGATTTTTTTTAAAACTTCTACACACATCACTGATTTATAAAATAGCTCAGTTCTCTCAACTGTCCACAACATGAAAGTGGACAGGGGCAATACAAATGAAACTTAAATCTTCCAAACATATGTGTCACGAGACAGTGGAATCAGGCGCTCGTCAATTTTTGGGCATGTGGGGTTCTTGGTGTGGCATTAAAGCTTGTTCATTTGCCTTGCTTTCGGTGAAAGAAATACCCATATATCTTGACAACAAGTCGTGATATTTGTGACTGAAGGTGTGTGTGTGTGTGGGGGTGGGGGGGTGTTTCAGAGGTAAAATTAGCAAGAAAATGGTCGCCAAAGTTTGGTTATTTACACAGCCTGAGAGTCCCGGGAAACTGACAATTTACATTTTTTGTGCATTTAATTGACGTTTTTCAACAAAATCCACACAGAAATCGATTCTTCAATAAATTAAACATTAAAGGTGTTTAGTCAATAAACAAAATTTCGATAAAAATTGCCAAACTCGCGAAAAAATGCCAGTTTCTTCAGATTCATTATTTTGGACGAGCACCTTGCACCATGCTGCCACACATATATGCACTTCAGCTTCCAAACACCACATATTATAACATAAACCCCATCAACAATCAAAAAGCAGTTAAAATTTCAACATTCCATTTTTTGTAGTATAAGAAATACAGAAAAAATTTTTTTATTGCATATGACCCCAAAAGCCAGTACATCAGTTAACATGGCACACACATTTTTTTACATCTCTCACATGAAATCTCATATCAAAATACTTTAAAATCCAATACTCACCGAACTCGTGCCACGTGATTTTGTGGGGTTGAAATTTGGGTGTCCATGAGGAGACGGCAGGAAGGGAGTAGAACCCTTTTCCGGCTGCGGATTCATTACCAGGACAGAAACATTACAAGTTAAGATATTATTAGTAGATGGAGACAAAAACTGATGACACTTGGCTGGACCAGCAAGAAAACCCAATTAATTCACCCTCGGTACAAAATTAGTAACCCATCTATTTTTAACCCAACCCAGCCTCAGGGGACCTAATTCAGTTCATCAGATACACTTCGTAAGAGAACGCGTTTTGCTTTAGAAAGTGTTTTACGGCCCTCGCAACTGCATAAGGTCATATTATGAGCAGGCAGGACACACTAAAAATTTTCAGTTCTACAACACAAGAGGCCCTTGTAAGAGAATGAGCATCTAAGCAATGACCTGTTATCCCTTAGATTTAGAGAGTGTTACAGTATCTGCAACATAAATAGGTGGGCCGGAGATTGGGGGCATCACTCAAGAGTAATATAGAAAGAAACGAAGTAAATGAGAAAGATGTCAGATGTTTGATGGGACGGAAGGAGCTAAAAAAATAATTATCTAATAGACACTGCTGCAGACCCACCACCCCCTCCATGATAAAGTGAGTTTTCCCTCACACATCAGTCTCCAGCAAAACCCCTACAGATTAACATTACATTGCGAACTGACCGTAGCAAATAAATCAAAATAAAAATGATGTGTATTTTCACACCGTTTACCAAAAGGCACACATATATTGTTGAGTGATAAACCTCCATACTTTTACGCCATTTAGGCTGCAACAGACCTAGATCTATCTATGAAAACAGAATTCAAGAAAAAAGTTGGATTTATGAAAACCGGATGGGGGCTCTTAGGTGGGCAAAAAATATTGAGATCCAATTTTATCTTAGCACTTGGCAGGTCTGCTGCTGCAAAGTTAAATTGTGTCAAACCATGCAAAAATAGCAAATCTACAAAACAAGCCTTTTCAAAATACATGGGGTCACATTGTACTGTAATACAAAATCAGTTCAAAAGTTTTGACACAAAATATAATTACGGGAATTTTTATAGAGCACCTAAACCCAAAACGGCCCCAAGTGCTGTACAATACAGAACTATGACTACACTGACAAATAAAAAGACAGAAAATACACTGTGAGACCATACACGCACACACAATGCCTAGACCCATATTTAAAAAAACTCTTTGGCAGAGAAAAGTATTGAACAAGTGTGAATTTAGACTGCTCTCAGACTCTCTCTCTCTCTTTTTAGTTTTAGGTTTTACGGCACTTGCTACACAATAAGGCCATATAAGTGCTGAAGATTAGAGCTGTTATAAGAGAGTAACAAACACAAAAAAAGAAGGAGGGGAGATAAAGACGAAAGACGTTTGATAGGAAAGAAGAAGCAAACCACACCAGAGCACCAACCCTCTCTCTCTCTCTCTCTCTCTCTCTGAAGACTGTCACAGAAAGATGGAATGAGACACAACGTTACAGAAACACTTTTTGCACTTGTTTGTTGTGATGGAGACGAGTAAACAGATGTGAGTGAAACAGTAGAGTTCTAAACCATCATAATTTTCCAGGACTATGTTTCGGATGTATACGTGTGTGTGTCCGAGAAAAGGGTCCACATGTGCAATCTTTTACTTTTGCAGTTTTGTATAGAACAGGTCTTTCCTGGTGTCTCTGTTTTCAAATATTTTCATATGTCTCAAATAGGTTTTGAAATATTGTCACTTTTGTGAGTGAGGAGTGCACCAACTACTTTTAAGAGAAAAATGAGAAAAAACCACTCCAGTTTATAACATTAAGTAGTGGTATGTATTTTTAAAAGCTTTGAAAAATATAAAATTTGAGGAAAAATTGGTGTGAAATATTTTGAGAGGATGGAGAAAAATTATTCATTAGTTGATATCATTACGAGTCTTAAATTTCCCAAAAATAAGATTTTTCATTATTTTCCTAATTTTTTTCTAAAAGCCTGTGCGATATTTGGACCCTTTTCCCAGTCACACAACATATCTTCTATAAAAAAAATAGTCTTAATAACTAAAAGCAAAGGTGGCTTGTTCGGAGATATCATTTCCAGTCCATGCACCAAGGAACATACCTTTTCAGAACCACTTGGGGTACTTGGAGTGGGTTTTGATTTATCTGTAGAACAAAAACAAAATTAGCTCAGTCACATACACATACACGGTCCCAGACTAGAAGACACAGAAATGAGATAATATCAGAACTAATTCCACACTTAGTATTTCTCAATACTATAGTTATTAAAAAATGGCAGGATGAAAATTAAAAACATGATTTTTTTAACTCTATAAAATTGCAGAATTCAAACAAAGAGTAAAATAATTATGAGAAAAAAAAATATGATCAAAACAATCATGTCTAAATCTGGAATCAAAATTAACATGGATTCCCACACTGCACTGATTCTGAGATGCAGTAAGCGGTTAAATGCATGGAATGCAAAATTGAAAAGGCCCTACAACATAAATCATAGGCCTAGATGAACAAAATCCATGTGTAGAAAAATTATCTTATCACGATTAAAAGTAAAAAGAACTACTGTGACTTTGTTTGAAACCAAATTGGCAACGTCTTTCTTATGAAGTTGTTGTTGCTATCAATCCAGCAATAATTCAGGTGGAAAAAACATAGCTATATATAGATCTATTATAGAGATGTACTTACGAGGCACAGGGGAGGCTACTACTGTGCCACCCCGCAAATTTGGGAGGGCCATTCTGAATCCTTTATGGTGCTGCAAACTGAAAAAAAGAAAGAGGGCTTGATTGAACTTTGGTGGACCCACCGATTTACATATTTTAAAGCGCACTAGCCATAACAACAGAGGGGGATTTCAGGCGCCCCTGGCAACAATAGAAATCTAACAATTTTAAAAAATAAAAAGCACATGATAAATGCAAAATAATAACATTTAAAGCAGACCATTGGACAGGGAGACTCCAAAGAAGTTCCGCCTTCGTCAGTATGAACAAACTTATAAATTTTACTCAGCAATAACATCATTAATATAAAAAAATAAAACCCTTTTAATTATGGACACACAGTGTTATGATGGTGTATGCTAAATATTTTCAATGTTTGAATGCACTACTGTTTGATAGTTTAAGATTAACAATATTACGTATTTAACATACAATTACGTGTGCACTTAGGATGAATAAAAAATGCCCTATTTTTAGTACTATTATCTTTCTATGTTGAGATATAAGATGCACACATCTCAATCTACTTGCTCATGCAGCTTGACCAACTTATTTCCTTGCCATATGCATCAGTAGAAAACACATTTTTCAATGATTAGTGGTTGATTTTAAAAGTCCTCACGCAAACACCCCCACCTTTTGGCAAAGGCCTTATAATAAAAGATAAACTAATACACCCCCCCCCCCCCAAGACAGCGTGATCTAGTCAACAGTTTGGCGAAGGAAACCTGTCTTTTTGGGGGAAGCCCCTGCAGACAACAAAAATAGATGGCGGAAATACGCCATCTATTTATATTTGGGCCAATCACAGAGGTGCGCTACTAGGTGCTCACGGGGAAGATTGGAGGATACCGGACCACTCATATCATTCAAAGCTTCCAGCATCTGATGTCATTTTTAGAGGAGGAGTTTCGGGTCCAGAGCGGAGCCCTGGCAGGGGGCTGAAGGGGGACAGCGTCCCCTTTATGTTTGAGAATTTTTGGTTTCAGGGCATCCTAAGTATGCCATTTCTGGCTATTCAAGCGTAAATTTAACAGAAAATAAGTGAGAAAAAAAACATACTTTGCATAGGCCTACATAATTTTCTGCTTCTGTTAATCCATATATTTCCAAATCCAAAGCCATGCTTTCTCCCTTATTGTACATATACTGTACATCCACAACTAGATCTATAAAACTTGACAGTTAATGTTCAACGTGGGTGGTTGGCGGGTCCTCTGGTGTGGTTTGCTGGTTCTTTCCTATCAAACATCTATCGTCTTCGTTACTCTCTTGTAACATCTCTAATCTTCTGGCGCTCATATGACCTTACGACTTATGCAGTTGCGAGCGCTGTAAAACCTCTACTAAAAACTAATGTTCAGCCTTTTTCTGCTAGTGTTGGTTTGCACCATAATCATCATAAGGTGTAGAATCATAATAATAACAGTTTGACTTGATCTAATATCTCTAGATTCTAGATCTAAATAACTTGACAGCTTATTCAACTTAAATCTACAACAAAACTTACAAATAAATAAGTCTGGTAAAAAAAATAAAGTTCTCTTTTGAGTTCTCTTTTCTTGGCAGGCCCAAGATCTATTGAATCACAATCGTCATTTCTTCCTCTTGTTTACATAGCTGGTGCTCTGCTTCTTGAGCTTTAGAAAGTGAAAGTGAAAGACACTGTCTACACTTTCAAATAAAAGAGCACTTCCGGTATGGGTTGGTTTATTGTTGACTATTGGTAATAACGGAAATGTTTTATTTTGCATTTTTTAAAATAATTTTTCCCCCCCCACTAATTTTAACGGAAATTTTTCCATTTGCGGAATTCTGCTAATTTGCGGAAATCCGCAAAATTGCGGAAGACTGGAAGCCCTGATCATTGTCCGAGAATGGGGGAGGGGGGGTGTGTGTGTGTGTGTGTGTGTGTGTTCAGGGGCAGGAATGGTCTCCCCCCCCTGACAAACAGGGAGGGAGGGAGGGAGGGAGGGAGAGAGAGAGAGAGAGAGAGAGAGAGAGAG